TCCCTCATTACTCCAATACCACTATAATTAACAGATAATTAGCAGTTCTTTATATGAAATATATACATTATTCAAATTACCATGTGGTTTCTTTCTCTTGACTAATACAAAGGACCCTAATTGCAATACAGGCAAGATCACCCAAGAAGATGGTATAGACTGATCTTACACATCAGATGTAAAGTCCCAAGATGTTCCAAGGTGGAGGCACATAGGATGGCATCTGGGTGGAGCAGGAGCATTTGGGTTCAGCTCCCTGCATTGGGACATCAGAAATAGTCCCTGTCTGGTGTCCACTTTAGGAAGCTCTGGGTTTCAGCTGGCCTCTGCTGCATCTGGGCACCTACCTGCAGCTTGCATTGGCTTTTCTCAGTCAGCCACGACCAGAGCTGGAATTTCTCTGTTGATCTCTTGCATATATAATGAAGCATCTTCTGGAGCCAAAATATTTTTAAAACATCACCCATCCTCACTGTGTGGGCCAAGCTCCCAGGTTTTCTATGGCTGCCCCAGGCTGCTGTGGGCAGATATCCCTCAAGTTCCTTCAAATGGTGCCTCTAGATTTTGAAGCTGTTGATTGTATTGCAATTGTGACACTTACAAGGGTTGTTGACCTCAGCCAATACCAGTATCATGGAGATGTAGAAACAACGGAGAAGCTGCCCATGCTTGTATTTCCTTGTGATCCTACTGAGGTGTTCAAGTATGTCTTGGTATAAGGCTAAGATAGGAGAAAAAATATACAGGGTTTTCAGCAATTTGAATGTTGGGTCCTTATCTAGGGAACAGGTGAATCCGTGTCCTAAAAAGACGGAATAAGGTAGCAGGGTCACGAACAAATGACCGTTACTGCTTAAAATCCCAGAAATCCTGGGGCACAGGCATCTGGAAAGCCCTCTACTCTAGAAACATCACTTTATTGTCCATTATCATTCAGATAACTTGGCTGGACTATGGGAATTCTACCTTTAGATCTCAGTCCACAAACCCAGGTTGTTTCAGGGGTGCTACTGCCACAAAGGGGCTAGAATTGCCATGCAAACGGGGCCAGCACTGACGGGTACTCAAAATCAAGTCATGAACCCACCCAGGAAAATCCTCTAGTTGAAGGTGCACACTTGAATAACGTTGCCTTAATTCCAGCTAATCGTGATGCGGTCAGCTCATCAGCAAAGTTCCTATTTTTGTTAGGAAACTCTTGGTGAATGTGGTTTCCAGATAAAAAATTTAAACTCTCCCTTCCTGGCCTGGAGAAGGGTGAAGCTCGCTGGTCTGTTCAATAAGGTCCTGCAGATATCCTCTGCAGCTGCTGTGGAGGTAGATGCAGAGCTCACAGGATCTGTATCTGCCTTAGCTTGACTTGGGTGGACCCAGATCCGATAGGATTCTCTGCTGCTGCTACAGAGAGGGGCTGAAAGTGCTCTCCAAATCCTAGCAGGCCAGATGTGAATGCTGACTTGGAGAGCCCGGGACTTCAGTGCAAAGAACACCTATCTGCCTGGGAATACAAAGGGGAAGCCTGGGGCGCTGCACCACTGCCACAACTGGCTACCAGATGCTGGATAAGGCACGGTCAGAAGTGGTCAACCAGCTTTTAAATGCCAAAGACAGGACGGTCATGAACAGAGGAGAGAGGTGAAAGTAGGGCAGTAAACCCTACAACCTGTGCACACACAGATGGGCCCTTGGGGCAGTCAGCAGAGGTACCGTTGGTGATCATGATGCTATGTCGAGAAACTCAATGCTGAAGGCATTTATAGGGAGGTCTCAAACTTGAACTCTTGGGCTCAAGTGATCCTCCCTGCCTCAGTTTCCCAAGTAGTTATCTTTATCAACTGATCTCCCATTCTTCCAATACTACTATAATTAACAGATAATTAACAGCTCTTTATATGAAATATATACATTAGTCAAATTACTATGTGGTTTCTTTCTCTTGACTAATACAAATGACCCTAAAGGCAATAGTCAAGATCACCCAAGGAGACAGTATAGACTGATCTTATACATCAGATGTTAAGTTCCAAGACATCTCTGTATATTATTTTACATGTTCTAAGGGCTTAAGCCTGCACATGATACCACCTGACCTCTTTACAAAAATGCTAAAGGTAAAAAAGATGTCTTCAACTGAACTCTAAACTTGCAAGTTTCCTTTAATGAGGGTTCAAGCTCCTAGTTTTGTGGTGCTTTGGGATTCTATTTTTTGATTTTAGTAATGACTGAGAAAAGTATGGATACCTCCATTCCAAAGATCTACTAGAGCTGGGTCATCTGCCAAGATCACATGATACAGGAAAAAAAATCAAGGACTATAATGCGTTAAGAAAATCCTCGAGAAGTCATGGTTTGTTGAATGGTGAGTTAGGTTGATGCGGAGGTCTGAGAAAGCTAGGAATGTGTAACACACTCTGATGACAGGCCCATTATGGAGTGTTTCTGGATGGTTCAGTCTTCCCCACTGTTGGTTGGATTTTCTCCCGGTGCACAATAGTCCTGTTTCCGCTTGGTGTCAAGTGGTTGGAGAAGGGAAACTCCCAGCATGTCCAGATCATGTCATTCCTCAGGAAAAACAAGCATGTGAGGGAAGAAGTCCTCAGGAGTTCAGGAATTGAACTGCCCGGTTCCTAAGGTTGCTCTTACTGTTGTTATTTTGTGTGTGTGTCTGGTGGGGGGTTCCATTCTGGGGGAAGAAGTTAAGATTTTGGCCACTGGATGTCCTAGATCACCCAGATCTGTGAATTTTATAGTAATACTGTCAGTCTTCCCTTGTTTTTAGATTTTAGAAGCAGTATTCATCTGAGGAAGAAGTGAAACACCTAAGTTCCCAGCTAATAAGATCATCACAGAGACAACTGGAAAAGGAAAAAAAAGCACATCACTACCCTTGCTCAGAATGAGAATTACTTTCGTTGGTCCTATTCATACACGTGCTTTATTTAGAAGTTATGCTAGAAATAAAGCTTAAAATTATGTTTACAAAATAGAGAAACTACGCTAAAGTACATGATAGGAAAAGTAAAACTGTAAGAAAATGAAGGAAAGCTAAAGGTAAATAAATGAACGTGAAAGGAACATGCTAAAAGTTCAACAAATCAAAATTAAAAGCAAGTAGAGCCAGCTAAGAGGGCATCATAAGGAAGAAGCATAGAGATCCAGCACAGAGATCCAGAGTCCAGGTACACAGCATTCCTGAGCTACACTAAAGAGCCTTCCATTCCATTATTATTATTATTGCTATTTTAGAGACAGGGTCTTGCTCTGTTGCCCAGGTTGGAGTGCGGTGGCACAATCATAGCTCACTGCAGCCTCGAACTCCTCCATTCCATTCTTCTTCTGATGCCGGGGTTCCTGGAGGAAGGCATAGGCTGGGCACACCTTCCCACGTGGTCAGGCTGCACAGCATGTCTGTGCAGTTATACCTGCAGGGTTGCAGGAACTTAACTCCAGCTGTTCCAGATCATTCCGCCACACCCAAGGTCTGGCCAGGGAGCCATTACTCACCTGCTCGGTCATCCTTCACTCATCACTCCAGAAGCAGGGCCCCTCCCCAACTAGTGGACGTGTGTCCCTACGAAGGTCAGGAAACTGGACACTCCATCTATCGCCTTAGTACTCGGGGGCTATTTAAGGCCTACGTGTCTGGAGAGTCTTTCTCGTACTACTTCCTAGAGTATCTGCTTTTCAAATCTTCACAGGTTGGGCAGGGTGAAGCCCTGAGCCTCCCAAGTGGGATCCTGAGCTGCCAGGAGGAAGGGAGGACTCTGCTACTGAACATCTCTGAGAATGTCACCAAGAGGCTCTGGGCTGGAATCCTGGCTCTGCCACTTCATTGCTGTACGCTCTTGGGGAAATGACACCTCTGTGAGCTTCAGATTCCAACTTGTAGGGTATTATTAGTGAACTATGGCTATGTGACTGTGTGCTCAGTAATGAGGTCAGGGAATACACTGGGCACAGGTGATGTGGTGTTTTTATTTAAAGCCAGAGTAATCAGAGATTTAAAGTCAGCAACTAAAGGGTGGTTAAGAACTTACCTTTCTGGGTTAATCCATGAAGTGGCTCCAAGGGCCATCTTGATGAGGATGCTTGTTAGCCAGGAAGGTGTCAAACTGCTTCCAGAGGAAGGGCAACTTATGTCCAGGGAAGGGTCTTACCCACTGAAGCTCATATAAGCTTGAGCCACTTAGCTCTCCATTGAAAAATAAGTGGTGACGACAGGAGGAATTTCTTTCAGAACTACCTGACATGGCTGTGAGCCATGCAAGTGACTGCAATTGTGGTCTCTTCTTCTCCTGGAGAACTCTCAACTGAAGAGGGCAGAGCTATTTGCCTAACCTGGAGTGGGCACCCTCCTACCTGAAACAGCGACAAGGCTAGAGCAACTCTAGAAGGGCGGGGCCCACCTCCCTTTAATTTCAAGTCAAGGTAGAAGTTCAGCAGCTGGTCAGGGAAGCGTCTGTCTTATTTAGTGTGGCATCCCCAAACATACCACATTTTAAGTAGAAACCAAGACATATGTGCTGGCAAAGTGGGGCAGAGATGGAATTAGAGCAAGTCTCTAAAAAAGAAAGGCACAACACCCAGATTCTAGTTCTCGACTTTAATGCCCTCTGAAGGTACTGAGGCGCCACACACCAAAGCGCTCACAGACAGGTACAAGAACCAACACAAGGAAGTGTTATATTGTGTACATAAACCCAACACTGTACAAAAGAAAGACAATGGACCCGGTGACCTCCCACACTCTAGAGGTGACTGTTTGATCCTACACCCAATCTTTGTTCCCACCTTCCTCAATCCCCTGCCAACCCTCCTCCCCCCTTCCCCACTTTACACACACACACACACACACACACACACACACACACACACACACACACAGAATTTAAAAAAAGTACCCTTCCCACCCTAACTCCCAACACTCCAGCTTCAGATGAAAAAAGTCTCTTTCTATTAAGGACCATGAGACAGGCACCACCTTCATGCAGGAGCCCAAGTAAAATAGTACCCAATAAAGTTTATTCACTTACATTAGAATAAAGTAGGGACAGAAAGTATGCAGAAGGGCAACATTTGAAATTCTTACTGGGATTAAAATGCTCAGTGCAAGTAGTTTTTGCTTTGTTGTTGCTATTTGTTTTAACCTCTTCAGGATCCAGCTTGCACCAAGATCACACACGGATGCTCACCTCATTCCATATCTTGCAAATGTCTACTTCCTAGTAGTCCAGTGAGCACCCAGAGCAGGAAGGTTATATCACCTGATCAGCCTGAGGCACAAGGCTCAGACAGCTCTCAAAACATCCTAAGTCCCAGGAAAGAAGAACAGAAACTTCCAGAGTACAGCTGACTGCTTTCTGCATGGTAAGCATTGGGCAGCCTGGTGAACAAGGCAGAGGTAGAATAAGGAAGGTGATGGTTCCTCTCTTCCCTTTAGAATGTTACCCAAAGAATTCTTCCCTGGGAAGGGATGTTTCAGTGTGGTTTTGTTTCAGTCTTTTTTGTTGTTATTAGGTTTTTTATTTTTATTGAATTTTGTTATTGCTAGCATTGCACCATATGGTCCTATCTCCTGAAACTTGTACCTTCCCAACCAGTGAGCATGGTACCTGGGAGAAAAGTCAATCCAAAGGCAAGCTCCAAAGGCAGATACTTGAGTTTGACTCACTGATAACGACTGGCCTGTCTAAAGGCAAGATGCATCTAGTCCTTTGCCCAGATGAGAGGCATTTGCAGACACTGTGCAAAATAATTCTATAAAAATATTTTTTCTTTTCATCAGGGAGAAGCTTTCGTTCTTTGGAGACTTCCTTCTAGATCCAGTCCACTGTTCTGACACTCGGGCCTTACCATTTAGAGTTGGAAAGGGATCACACTGGGAGAAGTCACTTCCATCGGGATGACTCCTTTATTTGGAGGCCATTACCACAAACCACCACATTCCACTGTACTGTTCAACCTGGCCTTTGCTTCTCATCAGAGAATGGCCAAAACAGGCCAATGAATTATTTTGCTCCATTTAGAAAGAGCTCTAAGCTGGCTGCTCAGTGTCTCTTCTCCGCCTGCTTTACTGGCCCAGAGTCTTGTCTCCCACAATGGCACAAAACACACCACTGTGAGGACAACACAAAAGAACAGAGAAACAGAGGCATCTCCAGAAAGAGGCACAGGGACAATGTCTTATCCAGCCTTCAGGATCTGTAACCTCAACCAAGCTTTCAGGATCCATATCTGAGCAGACCTGTATTTGAGCAAACAAGTTTCTCCCTGTCTTACATGCATGGACTCTAAATAAACAAGCACTTTGATGCTCCGTGGCAGGGGCAGGAAGCAGAAGGGGCCGAGGCAAGATTCCTGGAAGTGGTGGGTTTAATCATCTGCTCTTTACTCATATGGACTTACTCATCAATAGTCTGCCTCACTATCTGTCAAAAATGAGCACATATTAGCCAGAAGGTTACACCAATCAGAGCAACCAAAAATGAGAGACTTTCCTGTTAGAGCAGGGCAAGAGTCACGTTGTTGTACTAAACTCCAAGGAGGAACATCAGCTCTAGAAAAGAGACCATCCATTTGTGTATGAGAACAATGGAGGAGCAAGGATCTCTGAACACAAAAGACAGCTCAGTCCTTGGACCTCTGTTTCACCCACATAAAAGTACAGTATGAGCACAGAAACATGCCCTGGAATCTCTGTCTTCACACAAGAGCCAGGAAATCACTGCCTTTCAATCCCATGAAGGAATTCAGCCAAGGTCCCAGGGCTTGGTCTCAGATAGTCACTGATGTCCTCAGCTTCCCCTTGCCCTCACCTCACTTATCTGGTCCTATACTTCTAAGACCAAGGAAGCTGTCTTCACAAATTCTTTTATTTCTTGTTAAAGATAGGGTCTTGCTATGTTGCCCAGGCTGGAGAGCAGTGGCTGTTCACAGATGGGATCACAATGCACTATAGGCTCAAACCCCCGGGTTCAAGTGATTCTCCTGCCTCAGTTTTCCAAGCGGCTGGGACTATAGACGCATGCCACTGTGCTGGCTCTCACAAATTCTTGACGTATTGAAAGAAAATCTCTCTTCAAGAATACCCAGGAACAGTTAGGATTTTACTTGTAAAATCCTAATTACAGAGAGACACCTTTAATGCAGCACAGAAATGTTATATTCTAATCAGTGGTGCTGCCTAGCTTTTCCTTTAGGAGATGCATGTCCAGACCCTGACTAGTCGTCCCGGGCCACAGACAGAGAAAGAAGGAATGCAGTGGTGAGACATCCTTGTGCATCTTTTTCTCTTTCTGAAACGTGGGGAGCAAAACATAATAGAAGTTTGCCACTGTCTTCCTACATCTCCTAGGAGAGTTGTGCCTCTCACTCAGGGCTTCCTTTACCTTCCCAGAATAGACACTCTCCTAGAAGAAGAATATTAGCAGGACAAAGCACAGGGTTAAGAGAGGTGGTCTTCTTTTAAAGAGATTCACCACAGGTTAGTGAATGAAATAGCAGCCAAGGAGTTGTTCTGAGCCTCTAAAGAGGATGCTACATTTCAAAGATATCAGAAGATTGGCCAGGCGTGGTGGCTCATGCTTGCAATCCCAGAACTTTGGGAGGCTGAGCCAGGAGGATTGTTTGAGGCCAGAAGATCCAGACCAGCCTGGGCTACATAGTGACACTCTGTAAAAAATAAATTAGCCAGGCGTAGTGGTGTACACCTGTTGTCCCAGCTACTCAGGAGGCTGAGGTGGGAGGATCACTTGAGCCCAGGAGGTTGAGGCTGCAATGAGCTGTGATCATGCCACTGCACTCCAGTCTGGGTGACAGAACAAGACCCTGGCTCAAACAAACAAACAAAAACAAAAAACAAACAAACAAAACCCACAAAGATATCAGAAGATCTAGGACTCTTGCCTGCTTGAGTTAGGGAATCTTCAAAAGGGGTTTTTGAGATTTGCATTCCAGCCTTGTGAGAAGATAGCCCAGCAAGCAATGAAGGTTGGTGAAAGGTAGGAGAAGCCATGGCCCTAAGACAGGGCTGTAAACATTGTGGTTTTCTAAGGCCAACCTGGTACAAGGCTTTGGCAACGATAGTTACATCTCCAAAAGGTGGTGAAGAGCGTCTTCCAGGAGGAAAAGCAGTCTTCCCACATCCTAAGAATGTGGGAACTTTCTTGGAAAAAGAGGGGTGCACTGGCAGACAAGACGCTCTTTATTCTTCGGCCAGGGGATGTGGGGTAGCTCTTCAGGTAGATCCCCCATCATATTCCAGGTTCATACCAACACACTGAGCACAAGGAAGGTTTGCTTAAACAGGGTTGAGGAAGTGATTACACCTACATCAGTTGGTAACGCGGCTCTAAAATGGGCAGAGACTCTCCTGTAAGGTCAAGAAGGTGACAAAACCTCTATGGACTTCCTGGTCAAGCCCTGCCTAGACCACATCAGCCTCAAGGAAAGAATGCCATACCTTGAGGAAAGGCCAGGTGAGAGCAGGCCCTGAGTCCTCATGGGCCCTGAGCCTGACCCTGAGACGCAGCCAAGGAGACTGGAGCTGCATCTCCGTCCACTTGGAGCTGTGGCCTCAGGACTTGGTCCTCCCCTTGGCAGGTGCCGGGGCAGTCAGCAGCCCCTCCAAGGATCTTACTCTCAGAGCCACCAAGGGGATGGGCAACCTCCCTGATGGGATTCTCTTGCCTACCATGTCTACTCACCACCATGTGATCTTGAACTCATAGATGGGGCGCTTGCAGTAGTAGTGGTTGACAAGGTGCTTGTCACACACGCCTATGCACTGGTGGTCCACAGTGAGGCCTTGGGCCGAGAGGTCCGTGACCAGGCAGTGCAGTAGGTCATACACGTCAGCCACTGCCTCCCAGGGCCCAAAAGACACATCCACCTCGCAGTGGTGCTCAAAGAGCTGCCCGTCACTCTCGCTCCGCTCGAAGCGCAGGGAATTGAGGAGCGGACACTCATAGGGGGTGATAGGCATCTCCTCCTTGAAGACACAGACCTTGAGCTTGGCAAAGCGGGCCTTCCTCTGGACCGCACGCAGCCGGGCGATCTCCACAATCCGCTCCAGGTGGTCTATGAGGGGTGGACACAGCACCTCTCACTGGGGTGCAGGGGCAAAAGAGGGCAGTGGGAGGGTACTAGTGACAGCAGGCTGCAGAAGGGAAGGGACAGGTTTTCTGGGAAAGGGATTCAGTGGGCCTATGAAGGACACAAACTCAAACAACGGCCATCGCTCTCCACAGCAAAAGGAAACCAACGGGATGAGAACTGTCCTTTTGAAATGTGATTTGCCGATTGTCACAGGTAAAGTGGGCCCACCTGAACCTGAACTTTTCCCGTGTGACCCAAGGGGAGGACATTCTCTCCCATCTTGAGTAATCTGGATGAACCTTGGACCCAGCTGTTCTAGCGGAAACCTAGGCACTGACAGATGCCCTGCCGCCCTCCACCCCAACTGTCCTTGGCAGTCGACCCCTCACCTTTGTAATAGGGCATGAGTCCCAGAAATGCCTGGCGCACTTTCTCGCCCTTCAGTGGTTGCATGTTCTCCAGCTGCTCCAGGAGGGGTCCAATGGCATAGTACTGAGCCTCTTTGTATACAGCCCGCACGCGTTCCCGGGGTGGCAGATCCTCCGAGCGCAGGAAATTCAGCACATCTCTGAGCAGGAAGTAAAGAGGGTCAGTAAGAAGGAGCTAATGGTCTTGGGCAGTGCCACACAGCAGTTAGACAGAACGTGGAACCAGACTGCCAACTGTGTAACATTAGGGAAGTAAACTTAACCTCACTGTGCTTCAATTTCCCCATCTGCAAAATGGGAGAGAATAACAAGTCTACCTCATAATGTTATGAGGTAATTAAGTGCTTAGAAAATTCCTGGCACAGAGAAAGCCTTTGCTAAGTGCTATTGGTTGCTATTATCAGGATAATTATTATTACTACTATAATCACTATTCATAGGTATTATTATTATTAATATATAGGCATAATGGAAAGACATGACATATAGCCCCTTAATATATAACTATGTAGATTTAAAATTGAGGTATAAATAATATATAAATAATATATACCTCAAAATAAGGTATATAAATAAACATAAATGTACAAATATTAATTGTAGAGCTCAATTGTTTTAAGTATAAATATACCCACCCAACCACCACCTAGATCACGTTCCAGAACATTTCCATCTCTTCAAAGTTTCCTCGTGCCTCTTCCCAGTTAATTCCTAGAGAAGCAACCACTTTAACTTCTCCTTCTATCAGTAAAGATTAGTTTAGACTTTTCTTGAAATACGTATAAATAGAGTCATACAGTATGTTGTCTTTTGTAGCTGGCTTCTTTCCTGCAACATAATGATTTTGAGACTTATCCACTATGTTATGTATTATAGTAGTTTGTTTCTTTTTATTATATAAATTTATTATATAATAGTATACCATCATTTGAATACACTGTGATTTATTTGCCCATTTTCCTGTGGCTGGACATTTGGGTTGTTTCCAGTTTTGGGCTATTATGAGTAAAGCTGTGATGAATATTCCTATATATGACTGTTTGTAGCACAAGCATCAGTCTCTTGGGTAGATTCTCAAGGAGCAGACTCGTTCATTCATAGGGTAAGTGCATGGTTAGTAAAGTGGTTGCAGCGTTTTACATCTCCATGAGCAATGTGGAAGAGTTCTAGTTGTTCCAAATCCTGCCGGTAGTATTGTTTTGTAGCTATATGGAGAAGACAGACTGCCTGACCCAACATACTGGTTCTAGGACTGAATAAAATCATACATTGCATTTTCTTAAAAATTCAGTCCTTTGAATTTGTTTTTCAGATTATTTGGTGCTAAGAGTAATCAGATCCATCACCATTAGATGTGGGAAGGAGGTGAGTAAACTCCAAGATCACGCTGCTATCTCAATAGTAGACAAGTCTACGACCATAATACAAATACCAGCTAACACCAAATATTGACCTGTGTCAGTCACTGTTCATGTGTTATCCCATTTAGTTCTTTCAATGACATTATGGGATATGTGCTCTCTTATCTCTATTTTATAATGAGGCCCAGAGAACTTAAGAGACACCTTTGCTCAAGCCGCCACAGCTGCCGGAGGCCCAGACCCAGACATGCACACCCACACTAGTCTGGGCTTCAGCAGAAGCATTCAGACCAGAGGGTGGCACGCTGATCACAATGGGGAACCAGCCCAGGTGGAAGCCCAAGCGGCCTCCATGGGGGTGCTGGGGGCCACATGAGCTGTACCAGCAGAGAAATGCACCCGACCAAATGCCCCAAACCCCTATTTTATTTGAGGTGTTCAACAACATCATCTGCTTCAGTGGTTGCATGTTCTCCAGCCATTGGAGTCTAGCAGCCCAGGAAATGCCATCATCTCCTGCTTTCTTCCACACTCTTGTCTGGTTCTGTAACTCTCCAGTGGTGGCCACCTGGACCTGGGCACATCAGCTTCGAGTCAAACCCTGTTCCCCTACCCCAAGACCCTCAAATCAAATCAGTCCTCTAGTGTCTTTAGCAAACCCCGGTGAACTCTGAGAAACAAAACCCGGAGCAAGGCCTAGCTAAGAGTGCTGTGGGAGCTGCCAGCTGGGGCCAGCACTTTCCTCCCCCAAACAGCCTGCAAACAAAAATCTTTTTATAGTTCTGCAGAGTGATGTGACACTTTGTTTTCTCAGCATCAGAGGCAGCTGACAGCCACTGGGGAAACACAGATGCTTCAAAGCAAATTATTTGACCAGAGGCTCCTTTCTGAGGGTAAAATGACCCTTTCCCACAATGTGAGTGATCCTACTTGGAGGAGGCCAGCACAGAGACGTAGTGATTGGAGAGTTTCTGCCTCCCTGGGCATTTGGTTCAAGGTCAAGACCATGTAGGTTCTCTAGTTATCTTCAAAGTTACACTGAAGGAGTAAAGAGTTCTAGCCACATACTCTGAAAATAACCTGGCCAGGGGTCACACCAAGGCTCTTTATTTAATCCTCATGGACAGTCTGTGAGACAGCTATAATTATTTCTCATTTCACAAACAAGGAAACGGAGACATAAATTATTTAAATTGTTTCTGTGTAACACTGTCAGAAGTCCTTTCTTAGGAAAGGCTATTCCCCCCCTCCTTTTTTTTAGACACAGGGTCTTGTTATGTTCCCCAGGCTGGAGTGCTATTCACAAGCATGATTATGATGCCCTACAGCCTTGAACTACTGACCTTAAGCAAATCTTCTGCCTCAGCCTCCAGAGTAGCTGGGACTACAGGGGCATGCCATCACACCTGACTGCCCTTGTGTGTGTTTGTGTCTGTGTGTGTGTGATTATGTTTTTCCATGTTTTAGTGTTAAAATAACAATAACAACAAGAGTTTTTGTTTTTTGGGTTTTTTTAGACTTTTCTTGGCAAAATTAAAGAATGGCAACCTATGGAAGCCCCTCTCTCACTATTTTTGTTGTTGTTGCTTGCAACTACTGAATTAAGTCTGAGAACCACTGCTACATACCATGCTTCCTCCCACAGCAAAGTCAAGTCCCAGAATCTGGATCTAAAGGTATTCTCTGAGTTGCTTTAGATCACTCTCATCTCTATGTTGGATCACATCTATTCTTCGCACAGATGACAACTTCCTGGTCTCAAATTGCCTAGGGCATGAGTGCGGTGGCACAGGGCTGTAGTTCCAGTTACTCAGGGGCTGAGGTTGGAAGTTGAGGTGGAGGCTGAGGTGGGAGAATTTCCTGAGCCCAGGAGTTTGAGGCCTGAATGCACCATAATTGCTCTGGTGAATAGCCACTGCATTCTAGCCTGGGCAACACAGCAAGATCTTGTCAAAAAACAAACAAACAAAAAAACCAAAAATCAAAAACAAATTGTAAAATAAAAATAAAATTTTAAAAATTCCATAGGGTAGAGCAATTTCATTATACCAAGACAGTGTGTGTTACTTGAATTTCTCTAGCTTTCCTTGTATCCTTTGTCAAAGAAACGAAGAATTTTGATCCAATTCAATCAGCACATTGATTACATTCCATCAATAAGTTAACTTCTCTTCTCGGTACGATGGAAGATGCCAAGTTCCCATCCCCAAGCCCAGGCTACTCACTTGCTAGAACTACAAAGTTGATTGCAGAGGGAGAGACATACCCAAAGTGTGTGCCATCTCGGTCAATGAAGTACCGGCCCTCGGAGTCTGTAGGGATGTAATGTCGTCCACTGAACATGGCTGCCAGCATGGTATCTTCGTAGCGCCGCAGGGTAGACAGGCGTGTCGTGAAGTGAGCCCCTCCAATGTTAAGGGGGACAACCTCAGGAAACTAGAAAGAAAGCACCGGGAACAAGAGAGGGGAATGAGAGCCAAAGCAGCTCCTTCTTCAGTCTTCTCAGGTTTAGTGCCACACCATTCACTCAGTCACCCAAGCCCGGGGTCAGTCTGAACATTTGCTTCTCTCTCTTTCCTCTGCCCCACACTCATCGATTGCCAAGTCCTACCCATTTCCATGCCCCATAGCTCTTTTTTTTTTTTTTTGAGTTGGAGTCTCACTCTGTCACCCAGACTGGAGT